AGTGCAAATACAACCAGCAACATATAAGTTGTGCTAAGTGGTGAAACAACCACTGCCCTAGATTAATTGTGTGACTTCACGTCCATCCCAAGCTTACAGTGTAAAAGCAGTTGTGGAGAGAGGAGACTCTTCAGTCTTAACAGAAGCTGAGCAGTAAATGCAGTCGTGAGGGCTTAGCAATAAGGTCTCCCATCCCCCTTTGATCCTGAGCTTTTATTGCTTATCTGTACTAATAAAGCACCGTCTGATGCTGAGGATCTGTTGACTTTTTCTGCCAGATTTATAACTACCTCGACAAGTACGTTGTTGGTCAGTGTTTTGCGAAGAAGGTGCTTTCGGTTGCTGTATACAATCACTATAAGAGAATCTACAACAACATCCCTGCCAATCTGAGGCAACAAGCTGAAGTTGAAAAGCAAGCTTCTCTAACTCCAAGAGGTTGGTATAGCATTTTGTGTTGCCTCCGGGCACAGACTGGCACAGTCATTCCTACAGTTGTCCTTGTGCAAATGGCTGCTAAAAAGTAGAGATTGATTGATTGATTCAATTTGTATAGCCACCCCTCTCAAACAAGTGACTCTGGGTGGCGAACAATCATAAAACCAATTAAATCGATTAAAAACCCAGTACAAAAAGTAAAATTAAATACATAGAGCAGCCAAGAAATATTATAACCTGTAGGTGTCAGCATAACCAGGAAACGGGGCCCTTCACGCACTCGGGACCCCAGGCCTGGGCGCATAACCAGGTCTTCAAGGCCTTGCGAAAGGTGGTGTTAATAGCCTGCTTGCTCAAGGAACATATAATTGGTGCTCATTATTTTCTTTTTTCGAAATTTTTGCCAGTTAGCCCTTAATAATGCTTGTTTGTTAAAACTGTTGTCCCCCTGTTCAGTCCTAAGACTTCCTCAATAACTTGTGAGCAGAAAAACATATATCAGAAAAATAAGGCAGTCCCTGCCAAAAGGTTATAATCTAAAAGATGCAACAGAAAAGAAAATGAGGGGAGACATTTTTAAGAAATCAAAATACAAATTCTTGAGGTAAAGGAATATTTCTTCAAATGGCTGGATGGAATGAGAGCAGTTCAGTCTTTTGCTGTCTTCCTCTGTGGCAATTTTTCTTTCCCATGATTGTAAAATCTTTTAAAAGCTGATTTAAATATGTATACCACTTCCATATAAATCCTCTGTATTTTCAACATATATGAACTAACAGCTGGAATTCTTTCAGGTGTTTGGGAATAAATTCACATAAGAAATTTGTGGGTACAGAATGCTGGATACGATACTATTTTCTTACTTGACAAGCAGTTCAGATGTCTTTAATTCTGCTACATGCAGTAACAAAAAGTTTGTACAGCCAAAACCAACACAGCTATTTTCAGTGTGGCACATGTACTATTATTAGCAAATTAAAAAAAAAAAAAAGGCTAATACAAGTGTTCTTTCCAGCCACAAGGAAGGACAAAAAACAGTATTATAATTTTAAAAATGCATGGAGTTGTTGCAGCATGGAAGTAGATGGCTTTATTACTAAAGGGTCAGGGTGAATAAATCAAAGCATTTGATTTCCTGTGGTAATGATGCTAATATTAAAAAATATGTATTAGGGATTTGTTACAGTATAGAAATAGAATGCTAAGTTCTTTAGACTCAATAAAGTCTTTGGTGTGCCGCCATCTGATACAGCATGATACAGTAATACTTTCCCATTCTTATGCCACATTGCAGACTGCAGTCTTCAGCAGCGTTTTCTTCCGGGTAGACATTTATTACACAGAAAAGTACTGTAGAATTTGCTTTTCTTATTCCTGTTGCCATTGCAAAACTGTAGATGCTTGTATTAGCAAGTCTTCAATGTCATTATAAGCTGTATTGTAAAGCTATCAATATTTCACTGGTGAGTGTATTTGTATATATGTAACGTGTGTAGGCGCGTGCATGTCTTTTCCTTGCTGTCAATGAAATCCATTGCTCCATAAACTTGTATTCAGAAGAGGGCAAGAGGTGAAGAAAATGTAGTGCTTTTTAATATATCTCTATCTCTTTCTCCATCATATTACTATTTTCATCCTGTCTCTTAGAATTAGAAATAAGAAGACGGGAGGATGAGTACAGATTTACAAGTAAGTGGTCTCTCCTCATGGCCTCCTCTGCAATATCTTTTTTTTCTCTTTTTTTTCTGATTTTAACCATGAGTAGCATTTGAATTGTAGCTTTTAAGAAACGTTAGAACTCCATCCTGTGTTCATTTTACAACCAGATACTTGGGCTTCATTTTCACTGTGAAGGTGAATTTGTGTCTCAACATTGCCACTTTTCACTAGCGGGTGAAAGGGGATTGATGTGAAGAATGCTTCCCCAGAATTCATATATACAAGGAGACTAGATTGCATATTTACTTAATTGCTTCGTTTCTGCTTATAAAGAAACACTTGTTGGCTAGAGAAGCATTTAATTGTGAACCTTTACCTGCAGACTGCAGTGGTACTGTACTATTCAGACACAGATTAGCCACTTCAGTGATGATTAGAGCTCTGTGTTTTTTAGAAGGTTCTCTGTGTGATCAGAATTCGGCCTCTTTACCCCACTGTAGTACTTGGAATAAATAAGTACATAGTAAAGAATAAGGGGAGTGAAAATAAACAGTTCCTCAGATTTACATCTGATTCCTTCAGTGGCTGAAATCTGTAAAAATTATATTTTGTTAGTATTTCCATGTAGGCTATGGAACATATTATCCTGCTGTTGCTGTTTCTCATTTTACATTAACGATGCCCAACCCAGAGTGGGAGGACATACCAGGGAACTGTGATGAATGAATGCAAGGGCATGAAGTTCTAAATTAACCTTTAAAAAAAAAAAAAGATGTAATATTGCATTTATATGGTTGCCATATATAGGTACAGAAGTGTGGCTTTATACATATGGACAAAAGAAAAATGAGATATCTCTAGAAAAAACTTCTTTTCCCTTAATCAGCCTAAATAAAAAGAGGGATTATTGTTGGTGATACTAAGCTGTTTTAGGGTCATTGGTGTAATTATTTGACGTTTAAAAATGTGCCCCTTAATTTTACTGTGAAAGATTTATATGTTCTGAAGAGAAACAAGATATGTGTTTTAATTATGTGCAGAATAAACATTTCAATATACTTTGTAATGCGTAGAAGTAATTTTTGTGGGAATGGACAATCCTTATTCAATTTAGATAGAATATCCTCGTGCCGCTCACCCTAAACCATTTGTTATAACCTAAATCTTCCCTCGACATGTACCAAATGTTGTTTGTCTATGAGTTAGCGTGGTTTGCAAGTGCAGCTGTTGCGGTCTATAAACCATGGTTAATAGTTTAGTGTTGTGTGTGAACTGCACTGTTACCTCTAATTCAACCAGTCCAGGTTAAAGCAATCCAGGGCTTAAGGAGGTATGTTAACCAACCCATTGTGCTGCAAGGCTGTATTCTAATGCTGTTCTCTCTGATAACTTTCAGGCAGGTGGAAGAATGCTTGGAATTGCAAATGCGCAGACTGTGCAGACTGTCAGGCGAACTTGTTTCTCAGTCAGGGATTGCTTGTGTATTTCAGAACTTCTCCAGATTGCTGGCATTAGTCCCCACGGCAATGCTTTAGGGGCATCCATGCAGCAGCAGGTCAGTCAACAGATGCCTCAGGAAAAACGAGGAGGTGAAGTATTAGATTCTGCCCACGATGACATCAAGCTCGAAAAAAGCAATATTTTGCTGCTTGGACCAACCGGCTCAGGTGTGTAAGTCCTATTGCACTTTATGTAAAATTTAGAAAGTAAGCACATTTACACAAGGCTAATAAAATTTGAATGAACTGGCAGAAAGGAACAGGATCTGTCCTGTAGCTTGAGAGGGTCATTTGGCCCTAAAGCAACTCAACTGGCCTTGTTGATATTTGGCAGCAGATTCTCTGATTTTTTAATGTTTATTTTTAAGCTCTGTGAAGCTTCATGCATCTGTATTGTCCCTTAAAATGCCTCAGCTGCTGGGCACCCTCCCTCCCCAATCACAAGAAAGAGTTGGAAAGCTTCAGTCCACTTTACTATAATGATACTGTTATCTCAGCCCATGCAGACACTGTGCTCCTCTTTAGGCAAAAATACAGAAAGAAATGTTATTTCTGCTGCCTGAAGAATAGTTCTCTGCAGCTTAGTGCTGTGATGTTGTTTTGTTCCCATTCAGTCTGTCTTTTGAATAATAGTCACCTCTGTCTTCCTGTGTTTCTGTGCCTGTAAATCATACCCTCTTTTAAAGCTTTCATTCTAAACACATCTTGTTCCAGGAACTCAATTCAAATTTGCTCCTCTAAAAGCTGATTTGGATAAAGAGCCCATAAACCTTGTAATGGGGGCGTTTCATATTTATCAGTTAATGATAAATGAGTTTGTCATAGCTAGTTAGCATGGGAGGGAGAATTCATCTTGACATCCAGAATGGTTGTCATAGCTAAAAGCTCAAGAACTTAGATGTGATCCTAGGCATACTGTTACATCTATTACTATGTGAATATCACTTATATGATAAATCCCTGTACATTTTTAAAAAGTTGATGTGTGCTGTTACCTGAATGTTTTAATACACTGATTTTTTTTCAGCTAGAACAACCCCACCCCCCAACTGGTAATCATTTTCTCCAGGAAAATAAAATGTATTTAAAAACCCAATTCTATGATTTTCACTAACATTTTTTTTTTTTTAATAACGAATAGGTAAAACTCTGCTGGCCCAAACTTTGGCTAAGTGCCTGGATGTCCCTTTTGCAATCTGTGATTGTACCACTTTGACTATAAAATGTATTTAAAAACCCAATTCTATGATTTTCACTAACATTTTTTTTTTTTTAATAACGAATAGGTAAAACTCTGCTGGCCCAAACTTTGGCTAAGTGCCTGGATGTCCCTTTTGCAATCTGTGATTGTACCACTTTGACTCAGGCTGGTTATGTAGGTGAAGATATTGAGTCTGTCATTGCAAAACTACTGCAGGATGCAAATTACAACGTAGAAAAAGCTCAACAAGGTAAAAAACATTTTCCATGCCCTTCCCTAAAAGCATAGCTAAGGGCTGCTCCTTATAACTACTATTATTGAAGCAGATTTTTTAGTGGGTTTTTCTTTGTGTTTGACTGCCCTTTTTTATATCAAGCATGTGTCCCAGGGAACATTTCGTCCTCTTGTCATGGCCATCTTAGGAAAGAAAATGGGGCTTACTGTGTACCAATTGTGTTTGTGTAATGCAAAAGCTCTTCATTTCAGCTGCCTCTAATTTGCAGGCATTGTTTTCCTGGATGAAGTGGATAAGATTGGCAGCGTACCAGGCATTCACCAATTACGGGATGTGGGAGGAGAGGGTGTTCAGCAGGTAAGCATGGAGAGCTTTGCTTTTCACAGTGAAGTTATTCCAGTAATTATCAAACTCAGGTGCTGATTGAGAGAAGAACCATTTTTATTTCCCTGGGAGGTGCAAGGCTGAAGAAGTTAATTTCTACGCTACCTATAAAGTTTTCCCTTCTTACACTTTCAAGGGGCTGAACACCACAAGATGGAAAGCTTGCGTTGATGTTTTATTGGTTTTTTTAAAATGTGCTTTTTATACATAAGAACATAAAGTACAAGGAAGAAGTCATCCAGCGGGTTCATGCCATTCCTGAGCCACTGCCAAATATCTCTCTGGGTGGCAGGGTCTCTTTTTGTTAGCTTAACAGTCTTGGGTGAAGAAGTTCTTGCAGACCTGCTCTGAAATTATCAGCAAGTTTGTTGGACTCAGCTGGATATTAGTTTCTTGGTCATGTAGTCCTTGCCCAAAGGAAGGATAAGCATTAGAAGCCTTGTCATTCTTACTGTGGATTGGATCAAAATTTGAGGCAAGAAGGTTTCCAGGGCTGGTTCCCACTTTGCCTTATGAACACATTTATACCACAATGGCTGCAGGGTCTATTTTGAAGTAAGTCTCCCAGGAAACTGGAGGTGGCAGAAACCTTAGCCCCAACAATTAAATTAGCTCAGAAAATTGTCTGCATTCTTTCTGATTTTTTAATATAATTCATAGTGAACCAGGGAAGGCTTACTGATTAGTCATCCTAATCATGAATCTGAAACTAATTTCTGTTGATAATCACCAGTGGGAGTTCATTTCCAAGTAGTGATATATATAATATTGCTACCCCGTTTCCCAGTTATACAGCTGCCTTGCTTTAGAAGTGTCTCTAAAAATAATGCAGAGTTGGATAAGGAGTAAAGGGCAGCCAAAATGATCAGAAGACGGAGGAAAGACTGTAGAATCCCCTCCTCCTCCATGCATATTAGTGATGACTTGTCATGATGGCTGTTGATGACATCTGCTCTCTGATTTGCAGAGTCCTTGGTACTCTCTGAGCTTCGTTGTTTGTTTGCAGTCATTTCATTACCCAATTAGATAACATCATCAGTGCAAGTGAGTGTGGGGTTTGCTCTCTCTCTCTCTCTATATGAGAAAACTACACCCCCACCAAAACTGGGAGGGCAAGCTACTGTATATAAACAGGGAGCAAGCCTCGCACTGATGATGTTACCTAGTTGGGTAATGAAACATCTGCAAATAACCACGCTCAGAGAGCACCAAGGACTCCACAGTTCAACCCTGAGCTATGTACATTCTCTTCTGTTGGAACTCTCCGATTTGCCTCTCAAAATCTGTTGCAGGAAATAGAAGCACAGTCATGTCATTGCATTCATGGCCTGCTTGAGGGATTCCCATAAGCCCTATCAGTCACTGTCACGAACTGCCTGGACTAGCAAGGCGTTCGTTCCATGTTTTTAAAAATGAACATGTTTCTTACACCTCTCCTATTTTTACTTAGGGGTTGTTAAAATTACTGGAAGGTACCATTGTGAATGTTCCAGAAAAGAATTCCCGTAAGTTACGTGGTGAGACAGTGCAGGTTGATACAACCAACATCCTCTTCGTAGCTTCTGGTGCTTTTAATGGTCTGGATAGAATCATCAGCAGGAGGAAGAATGAAAAGGTAAGGGCGTGTGGCGTTTAGATTGCACATTTTAGCTGTATAAAGAGTTGCACTTGGTGTGACCTATTCTGGAAAAGAGCACAGTCACTGCTGTGAAAGATACTCACCTTATTGTAGACCGCATATGGTTAATCACCCATTAAAAGGCAAAAGTGTCATTCACTTCAGCTCACGTGAAAAAAGAAGGTGGGGTGAAGATTTTGGAATTCCTGTTACGCTAGAAGGTTAGGTAGCCTAAGTGAGGGACAAGTGGCTGATGGCTGCAAACAAACAATTTGAATTTGATAACAGATAGTAATTTTATATTGGAAGCACTTAATGTAGCCACTTTTGTGTATACGTAATTGTTCTGCTTACGATAAATTGGAATGACTTGTAACTTTGTGAACGTTGTAGGAGGAGAGCCATGCTAGTCTACGATAGCAAAAAAATCAGAAGGATCTGGCAGTGGCTTTTCTGATTAGCAAATTTTGTTTAAAAAGCAGAAGCTTTCATGAGCTGCACCTCACTTCATCAGATGCATGGAGTGGCTAGACTTCCTTTCCCCACCTCCTCCCCTTCTCGTTCAAATCCTCATCAGTCTAGCACTGCCAGATCCTTCTGACTTTTTGTAACCATGCGTTCATCCATCTGAGTTATAGGCGTTAACATTTATTTACATGAAGTATTTTTGAAGTGATATTTAGTTGTTACTTAGTTAGGTAGCTATTTTACTTTATTTAGTTGATTTCTTCTAAGACTGCTCGCTTACTAATGACTCTAATTGCTCTAATGGCTTCTTTTGGACACAGGTTGTTTATCATATTATATATTTGCAGAGGCTACTCTACTTTTGAAAGATATGCCTGTGGTTTGGAAATTAATGGGAGGAAAACAAATGCATCCGGTGCACTTGTATAATAGCCAAAAAAAACTAATGTACCAAGTTTGAAAGGGTACTTATTCTTTATCAATAATACAGTAGTCTGACGTCTTGAACAAGTATCTTACTGCTGGGAGATTCAACTGGAAGACTGCTTAGAAATGTTAAACTGCGCATACTTATGTTTACTTTCCCCTTTCTTCCCATTAAGTAAACTGGCCAAACTGTGAATAATAATCAAGTATACAAGTCACTATTTATGTCCTATTTTGATTATTATACAAGCAATATGCTTTTTGTAACTATTCTTTTGCCTTTCTCGTTTTGCATATGTAGCGATGATGAAAGTGATGATGAATCACCTATGAATCACTCATCATGTAGTGATGATGAACCTCTGAAATATTGTTATTTTGATTAGTTTACTCAATAGTTTATATTGCTATTTTACACCTCTTTAAATTAACCACTTTGAGTTTTCCATGGAAAATGGATCTAAATGTTAAAATGAAGAGTTCCTAACTGTAAAGATACTGAAAATACTTTAAAAAGTAGATTGTTATGAGTTTGCGGGTTAGTACACACAGAAAGATAAGCTTAGGAATGTGATAGAATGTATTAAAATGTTGGAAGAGGAAAAAAACAAGTGCTGTTCTTCTTGTGCATTTTTACCAAAACTGTCCTTAAATAGTTTATTCAAGGTGTGTGTGTGTGTGTGTGTGTGTAAGCAATATAAAAGGCCTATGCATTAAATAATAATGCAGTGAAACTTTGATTTACCTGACCTTGAAGCTGCAGACTTAATTCTGCAGCAGTTTATATCGCTTGTGTTACCCAACTACAAGTGGGTAGTGCAATTATGAACTGTCGGGCAGAGTAATAATCACAAACACTCCTGTTTGTGCAGAGCACAGCAAAAACTCCAGGAAAATATTAGCCATGAAAGCAAACAACGTCTTGGATGCTACATTACATGGGAAGATGTGTTTTTCTTTATACGTCTTGGATGCTACATTACATGGGAAGATGTGTTTTTCTTTATACGTCTTGGATGCTACATTACATGGGAAGATGTGTTTTTCTTTATACGTCTTGGATGCTACATTACATGGGAAGATGTGTTTTTCTTTATACGTCTTGGATGCTACATTACATGGGAAGATGTGTTTTTCTTTATAATAGGTGGCAGTAAATAGCACAATACACAATACGCAATAACAGGTGTTTTTCACATGATCTCTGTAGTCAAAATATTATTTGTTATTGTTGTAAAAATAATGGGATGAATCCTTTCCCATGAGAAAGAAAATCCTGACATGAACTAGTGCAATTATGTAAATGGACACAAATTGTGTTCTTTGTTCATACAATAACCTCATTATGTGAATAATGTAGATCTCCATGATGGTGTACTTTCCAGTTTATTGAACATTCCAGACAGTGTCTTGTTCCAATTAGTCCATTAAAATAAGTTTCACAGTCATAGGTTTTGGAGGTTTGATGGTTGCCTCACTGTTAAAGATTATTTGCTTTTAAACTGGAGGTTCTGTACATTCATTCTCCTCCTCCAAACAAGTGCTTCCTCTCAACAGTGGTAGTGATGCAGGAGACCACAGCTTTCCACCACTTCCCTTATCCCATTTTTCCAATTTATACTTTTGCCTGATCTCCATCAATCTTCTCCTCCAATTTCATACACAAAATCACCCACCTGAATCTTCTTCACCTGCATAACATTGTCCCTGGATGCTCACAACCTTTTCATTCACACTGCCCACCACCACTCTATCCTCCTCCTTGTCTCTCATGTTGCACACTACACTTCTTTCTTCAACATTTACTCTCTTCTTCACCATCTCTACTTTTTCCTTAATTTTTATTGTCCACCTGAGTTCCTTCCATAATCTACTCTTAGCCTTCAATCACAACCTGATCCTTCCTGTGGTGATTCAACGCCTACATCATAACGTAATCCAGAGTCAATCACAAAATTGGTAGAGGCCTCTAATGCTTGTCACTTCATGAATCCTAATGGTAACAAAACTGCAGTGAAGGTCTCAGCCAGAAATGTCTTCAAGATGTCATGATAAATGGCAGTTTACATCCAACACTCTAAATATTTGTTAATCCAATAGAAGAGAATACTTATTAATAATTATATCCTTTTTTGGAGAAATACTGTCATTGTCTGGCAGACTAAAACCACCATGTTGGCTTTCACATGGAGAAATTGGATTCAAATCCTGCTGTGAGGTTCCTGGACAAGCTATATTCAACTTAGTCTTCTTTGCTGATTTTGTTGAAATGCCTCTCTAATTTCCTCATGAAAAAAAAAGGGATGACAATACAGTAAAACTAGGGGGAACCAACTAGGGGAAAGGGTTGTGCATTATATCTGAGTATCTGTTGTACCCAAATTATATAAATTTACAAACATCCAGTCTAATTTACAAAGCAATGGATTTTATGGTTCACCAAAGCAGTCTGACTTCAGATTCTCTCTGTTGCATTCAAGGTCTACTGAATGGGTTCTATAAAATAGAGGCTTTCCTATATTCCTTCAGTTCTGGAATGGATCCTTAGCTACATGCTGATTCCTACCATGTGTCCTTGTCTCTGTATAATCCCCTGCAATGCACCTTCATACACCAAATGAAACATCCGTTTGATTTTGTTGTTCAGTGCAGAACATTTTGTCTTGCAGTATCTTGGCTTTGGTGCATCATCAAATCTGGGGAAGGGCAGAAGAGCCGCTGCAGCCGCCGACCTGGCCAATCTGGGTGACGAGTCCAATTCTGAGCAAGAAATGGAAGAGAAAGACCGCTTGCTTCGACATGTGGAAGCACGAGATCTGATTGAATTTGGCATGATCCCTGAATTTGTGGGACGCTTACCAGTAGTAGTTCCCCTGCACAGCCTGGATGAGAAGACTCTTGTGCGGATTCTTACGGAGCCCCGGAATGCAGTGATTCCCCAATACCAGGCATTATTCAGCATGGACAAGGTACGATTTCTGTTTCACCTCTTGGGATATTTTCCTGGGACAGCATGTTATTTCCTGTAGATCAGACTTGCATATGCCAAAACAATGAATTGATTTTAAGTGATGTTAGATGGTAACCCCTTTTTAAAGATGCAAAAACAAAACAAATCTAAACGTGATTTAGGTTTATCTTCAAGTCTGTTGCTGTCTTCTGTTGCTTCTGACTGCCCATGACCTGATGGACATCATTTTTCCAGGCCTGTCTGCTTCTTTGAGTTGTGCTTGTGTCATTAGTGACAGTATCTATCTGTTTTGCCTTTAAGTCCATTACACTTCTCTAAACATAACCATAATTCTCATGGGGGGAAAAAAATCAAGTATTGGAAAATGCAATATGGTAAAGTGTCTATAATCTTATGTCTTACAGTGTGAATTAAATGTCACGGAGGATGCTTTAAAGGCAATAGCAAGACTGGCTCTAGACCGCAAGACTGGGGCTAGAGGCCTTCGATCTATAATGGTAAGAGGATGGCTTTTCCCACTGGCTGCTTAATTACCTGGAGTGCAGCCATTAATTCTCCGTGTAATAGGCTGTGCTCAGTCCAGAGTGTTTTGCGCTGTCTCCCCTTTATGTATGTATGGGTGTATGTCGGTGTATAAAATCTCTGAATGTAATTGGTGTATCAGAGAAGGGACCAAGCTGAAAACTTCCTTCTTGATAGGAGACAGTCCCATGTGGTTTCTCAAATTCTTCCTTGTGAACTTAAATTAATTGTGAGCCAGTTTGGTCTAGTGGTTCAGGCTAGAAACCAGGAGGTGAGTTCTAGTCCCGCCTTAGGCATGAAAGCCAGCTGGGTGACTTTGGGCCAGTCACTTTCTCTCAGCCCAACTCACCTCACAGGGTTGTTGTGGGGAAAATAGGAGGAGGGAGGAGTATTAGGTATGTTCACCACCTTGAGTTATTTATAAAAATAATAAAGGCGGGATAAAAAAATCTATGTCTGTCTGTAATATGAAGAGAGTCCATATTTGGCTATCATGGTAGGCACAATGATGTCAAGATCTGGCTTATGAAAAATATATTGATGCCTGCATCACTTCAATAAACAGGAGCTGTGTGAGCAACTGCTGCCTTCTTATATTCATCCTTTCCATTTGTGTCTCCCATGGGTCAAATATACTTGTCTTTCGGTCTGAGCCGTCTTTCCTGATTTCCAAAACCTTTCTCCCTCTAATAGCTGTCTCGCTTTGCTTTGTGGGAACAGCACTGTTTTTGGTTGTAAGGCAGGATTAGAAGGAAATGGTTTTACTCATAATCATAAAACTGGGGTGCAGCATTTTGCTAAGTCTCCTTGGCAAGTACACACCTTGTGTCAGACTCCCAGGTCTGACTGACAAACTTTTGAGATTTTGTTCAGACACAGAAGTAGGCCAAACAACTACCTATGGTTAGGTAGCTGTTAAAACAGGAATTGTGTTGAATGATTTAGAAAAAAAAATCTGAACTGTTCTATTCATCCTCCAACTTTAGGAAAAGTTACTGCTGGAACCAATGTTTGAAGTTCCCAACTCTGACATAGTATGTGTGGAAGTTGACAAAGATGTTGTGGAAGGGAAAAAAGAACCAGGATATGTCAGGTAATGTTGAGTTTCAAATGTTAGATTGGGTTGGTTCCCAACTTAGACGAAACCCTCTTCTCAAGATCTTTTCAGACAATTTTCTAGGTAAGTGATTATTCTGTAATTAAGTCTGTAGTTGCTAACGGCAGTTTAAATTAACTATTGAGCATTTAATCTGTATTTGTATTTGGAGACTATCATTAAATGTTCAGAATTAAGCTGGGCATCCTGTACAGGCTTACATCCTATAAGAAAAAAATTGTAATTTGGCGTGATAGAATTGAATCCTTCCTGTATAAAACATAAAACAACAGAAAATGTACAGTAGTACATTTCTTTTTGTGGAAAATAGCTGTTATCCTTTTGTAACTGGGTTGAGGTATTTCCTTCTCTATGACATGGGAGTTGAAGAGCAGCTGGTGCATTTGGAAAGAACCTAATTGGCCACTGAAAGAAGGAGAGATCACTTCTAAATGCACAAACTAATCTTTATTCTCACATCGTAGGGATCCTGTGCTCCTCCAGAGCTTGCTGAGGTTTAGCACCCAGTCAGCATGGTTAATTGAGGAGGATACCATGTTGAAATCCAATAGTATCTTGAAGACTACAGGTTCCCTCCCTCCTAAACCTTCCCCCCCTCCTTGAGCAAATGCAGCAATATATTACAAAACAAAAAGGCTTTAAAGATCACAGATTATATTTTTATGCTTTATATTTAATGTTGAGCGTATCTAACCTTCTATTGGGCACAAAAAGCACTTTGCATGAGCTTAAATACCTCTTTCGTTCTAGGCTGGATAGCTGTATTTCAGTATTAATAAAAGTCCAGGTTTCTCTCTCTTCTTTCTGATACAGATCTCTGTGGATTATTTCAGACATTTGACCGTAATTCCATTTTAATTATAGGACTCCAACTAAAGATTCCTCTGAGGAAGAATACGACTCGGGAGTAGAAGAAGAAAGCTGGGCCCGTCAAGCAGACGCTGCAAACAATTAAACAGTCAGAATGTTCTGCAGCAAAAACACTCAATGTGTCTGTGTTTGTTTGAGACCATACCGGGCTCTGCAACCTATTGCTAACATTGGATTTCTCCTGAATAGGACACTGGTTGAAACCTTTGACCTCTCTAATGGGAAATCAGATCATGAGTTTCTGTAACATCACACTGATCTGTTCAGTGGACACTTGGACTAAAAATGATATAATGTTCAGAAATTGAATTGTATATTACGTTTTGTTCAATTAAAAAAAACACAAAAATAAGCTTTTTAAAATTGCTGAAGAAGGATAACGCAAACACACATTTTCCCCTTTAAGCCCCCACTCCTCCCTAAGTCCCCCGCCCCAAACTGGAACCCTGCAGAGTTCAGGCCCTTGACATATACATGCAGTATCTTAGGCAGCCTGTGGTGTTTCCTAAACCTAAGATTAAGGGACTTCAGCAACTCCCCCTTGAGGTTAAAGAATACTTTCACAAACAGCCATAGGTACTACCAACAAACAAAGCATTGATGTCTGGTTTGTGAACCGTCATTAAAAAAAAAGGTTTGGATGGTCATTGGGCAAACAAAGGGGCTCTCTAAAGTCACATTTTATAAGACCTGGTTACTTTTGCTCAATCCTAGGTTAAAATGTGCTGATATAAGCAATATTTAGGTAATTTTACAGTAAGGAAACTGCAAAATTGGGCAAGGGAAGCTATTTCATGTATGAATACACAATTATAGTCTTGGTTTGAAGATCATTCAGTATGGGTTAATAGCTCTTCTGTTTTAAATGCAGTAGGAGCTGGAGTTATTTGTTACATTTATTATGGAAACCACCATTAAAAATGGGATATCCAAGCTTCAAAGGCTGTATTTTTGCCCACAAACTCCACAGTAATTATTTTCAAGCACCCAGACTGCTCTAAACAGACTGTACCCTGTGGCCATATTTTAGAGCATTGCAGTCCATTTTCCTAAAAACATAGTGCAATGCATTAAATAATTACATTTAATACCAAAGGTTTTTAAATATTATTTAAATATATATGCCATTTAGAAAAAAAATAGATATAAGAACAGATGAACAAAGGTGCTGCACCTTTCATGAGTTGAATAAAGGTTTACAGGAACAGTCAATAGAATATTTAAAATTTTATGCTAATTTTTAATATTGTACATTAATTGAACATACTGAAACCACAAGCATCAATTTTTTGGTGCCAGATATTTTTCCCAGCCTATCTTCTTACTCCATGAAGAGACACAAGAACGTAACAATTGTATATTTTTCATGTGATCAACAGGCACTGTTTGCACAAAATTCTTATTTAAATTATAAGCTTAAATGCTGATACGGCATCCTGTTACTTTTAAATCTTTTGTTTTTCAGTTAACTTGATCCTTTAGTATTTGTAAAAACACAGAAAAAGGACCGCTAATGTTCTTGATTCATTTCTGAAAATTAAAATCTGTACCTACAAATTTGATGTCTTTCCTCTGTGTTGAGATGTAAATCTTTTATGGAATTATACCTCTGTTTAAGGATGTAATTAAACCGGTAATTATTTTAATCAGCTGGTTAAAACAGATGGGAATTTCCATCCATGTCACAAGCAGTAATGACTGGTGGTGGTTATGGAGCATCTTAAATAACTTCAGGTTCCTCACTCTGTTTTGAGTTATCAGATAGTCACCAAAAGAGTCTGAAAGAACTGACGTTCAGTGCCTTGCAGGTTTGTTATGCACGGTTCCTCGCCTTTTAGCGTGAAGTTGTGAAAGATGAAATACTGTTGGCTCACAGGATTGTCAGCTTCCTCGGTTTATTGCAGTGTTTCTCAACCTTATCAACAGTGTATGGACTTCAACTCCCAGAATTCCCCAGCCAGCATGCCAATAAACAACAATCTTGGTTGGGGAT